CCCAGGTCATTCCCCAAAACAACATCAGCTGGTAACTTGTGCATCAGCCCCACCTCCACCATTCCTTCCCCCGCACCCCAATTCAGATGTACCTTGGCAGTTGGTAGCCGGTACATGGCACCCCCTGCTACCCGGACTGCTACCGATCCCCCGGTATGTGCTGATCCTGACACCAAATGCGGGGCAACCAAAGTTAAGGTAGCGCCGGAATCACGTAGCCCCTGTACCTCTTTCCCTTCCAGAGTCACGGTCTGGCAATGTGGTTGTCGGTTGTCAGTAGCATGGATGGACATTACATCATGCAAAACGCCCAGGGGTTCATCAGCCGACTCAAGCGGCACTCCTGGCAAAGTTGGCTCTGCATGATAATAATGAGCAGCTGCCAGCGGGGCCATATTCTGCCGGAGCTGATTCCAGTTCTTGCGGCTCCGGTTTTGGGTGCACTCCCGGGCCATGTGCCCCCATTGCTTACAGGCATGGCACTGGATGTTGGACCTGCCATTATAACGGGAGTGGGGAGGTTGTCCCACAAGTGCTGGTCTGGATAGTGCTGTCGCTGGGGCAGGAGCAATAACTGGAAACGGTTGCGGGTTGGGTTTTGCATACCCTCGGTTATTATTTTTATGATGCCTCCTAGCATCATAATGTTGGTCGGCCAATCGTGCCGCTTCGGTTAGGGTGTGAGGATTTCGGTCATTCACCCATTCTTGAGCCTCTGGTGCCAGGCCATTACAAAACTGCTCCAGTAGCAACATCTGGCGTAACTCTTCCATGGTGGTAGCTCTGCTGGCTTGTATCCAGCCTTGTGAGGCTTGATCAAGCTTGTGTGCCCACTCCGCATGTGAGTCTTTGTCCCCTTTTTTCAATTCTCGGAACTTGCGCCGGTATGCCTCTGGGGTAATACCTGGCATACCTTTCTAATAGCGCCTGCTTTACCTTGTCATAATTCTTGCTGTCCTCTCTGGGTACAGCCCGGTAGGCGTCTGCTGCACGCCCAGACAGTTTGCCTGCCAACAAAGGTACCCACATAGCTTGCTCTACATCATACAAGTCACACAATCTTTCAAAATCTTGCAAGAATCCATCTATTTCGTCTTTATCCTCGCAAAAAGTTTTAAATGCATGATGTGGTATTTTTGGCCTTCCCTGGCCCACAGTTGAAACAACAGCGGTTTCTGCTTGAGGTGAGAAGGCTTGATTCATTTGCGCCATCACGTACTCCTGTGCATCCGCCGAAATTATGGTCATAATTTCTGGAGATACTGGAGCGGGCCAAAATGCCAATCTTGTCCTCATTTCTCGTTCAAATTGGGTCTCCTCCATGTTTGCTGGGGGTGTAGCACTACGAGCTCGGTCTCCTTCCATTAGCTCGGCAATAAGTCTTGCTTTAGGCTTATTGCTGGCTATCTTACCCCTGGCTTCCAACAGCTCCTTTAACGTTTGCCGTTTCAATATGGTGTAGTCCGTCCCCATTCACTTCTGCATCTGTATCAATTGCCTTCTGCTTTCCAGTATGTAAATTCCAATTGTATAAACAGCGTTTTTCCTGCTGTACGGTTGGATCCCGCCGCTTGCCACCAATTGTTGCGGAGCTGCAATTTTATAATCCGAGGATCTCTGCTGGTAGAATGCAATAACCAAGTACAAAGCTGGAAGCAGGCAATATTCCCAAATCCTCCCAAGAACCAGACGAAACACAGTCTGAGATTCAACTGCCACTTTATTCAAAAAGACTGATATTTAAAGCAGGTCACTCAACTGTCACTTTATTAAAAATAACTGATATTTAAAGCAGGTCACTCAACAGGGGTTTCCAAAGATGGGCAGCAGGGGTTTTGGTTGAGGGGACTGGAGGGAGACTACCGTTTCCAGGTCCTCCTCCCAACAGCCCCTGCTGTAACATACAGTAATGAAAACCACGAGGACATAAACCGTTACCTTTCTACTTTAAAATATACAACTTAGTCAGTTTTAATAGCAATGCTAACGAATGGGGAGGATTCGAACAGACATACACAGTACAGCATAAATTAAACATAGCCGGAGACGCCACACTATACCGGCGCGCAGTACACAACAGAAAATAGGCACAACCATTCTATCTTAGGCAGTCCCAAGTGGCTAGGTTTGCCACACCTTATGTAATTCAATTTCTCAATTTCAGGGAGACTAAAAGGAAGGAGGTGCTATTTCAGTGAAGGAGGAGGCTTAGTTGGTGAAGGAGGAGTACTTAGTAAAGGATGAGGTCTTGTTAGCTATGGAGGATATTTTCGTGTTGAATGTATTAGTGAGGGAGGGATTTATTGGTGAAGGAGGAGGTTTTATTATTGAAGGAGGTGATATATGTGTTAAATGAGGAGGTTTGGTTGGTGAAGGAGGTGCTATCATTATTTAAGGAGGAGGTTTTGTTATTTTAAGAGGTATTATACCTGTATGTGGTGAAGGAGAGGAGGTATTATATGAGAAGGATGTGTTATAATTATTGAGGGTGGTGGTTTTGTTAGTGAAGGAGGTGCTATGTGTGTTGAAGGAGGTACTATAGTTAGTTAAGGAGGAGGTTTTGGCAGTGAAGGTGGTGTTTTATGTCTAGAAGGTGGGGGTTTATTATTGAAGGAGGAGGTTTTGTTGATGAAGGGGGTGCTGTATTAGTAAAGGAGGAGGTTTTGTTGAGGAAGGGGGTGCTGTATTAGTGAAGGAGGAGGTTTTGTTGAGGAAGGGGGTGCTGTATTAATGAAGGAGGAGGGTTTGTTGATGAAGGGGTGCTGTATTAGTAAAGGAGGAGGTTTTGTTGAGGAAGGGGGTGCTGTATTAGTGAAGGAGGAGGGTTTGTTG